CCACTGACCCGCCGGCACGGCATGCCCGGGGCGGTGTCCTGCCGGGGGGGTGGCGTGGGGCGCCTGCTGCCCAGCCGCAGGGCCCGCTGCCCGGTGCTGTCCGAGAAGCTGTGGGGCAGGGGGCCGTGCATTTCCTCCTCCTCCTCGGCGCTGCTCAAGCGCTGGTAGTCGCATCTCTCGCCCATGGCTGAGGCGGCGGCTGCGGCGCAGCGGCGAGTGGGGGGCTCTGCGGAGACGCCCGCGTCTGCTTGGGGGCGGCGAGGGCTGGAGCCGGGTTTGGGATCACATGGCAGAAAGTTGCTGCAGTTCCGGAAAACAGCGAGAGGGTGAAGGTGACCGCGACGGTAATGGTGGGGGTTGGGGGGGTGGAGGATGGATGGAGGGATGCAGACGAAAAGGGAAAGGAGAAGGGGGGCAGCCCCTTGAGTGCTTGTCCTCACCCCAATCCCAGCCTGGCACCACTATCTTCCTCCCGGCGCGGCAGCCCTACCGCCCACCTTCTGTCCCTGCTCCGGCTCCTGCGTGGAGAGGTGCTGGCATCGCCGCCAGCGCCGCGCTCGCAGCCCCCTTCACCCCGCACCCCGGCACGGTGCACCAGGCAGCCAGGCGGAGGAGGAGGATGAGGGGGGACCATCGTCAAGCAGCCGGGGCTCTACAGCAGGCAGGATGGGTAGGGAGGCACCTGCAGAGGGATGGGGGGGCTCTGGCGCCGGCAGTATCCCCAGCATCCCGCCCGCTTCCCTGCGCAGGCAGAGGGGGATGGGATGCACCGGGAAGATGGCTGCTCCGCAGCGACCGGCAGCGCTGGCGCAAGCACGGCAGGGCTGGCACAGCAGCCAGGCCCCGGGGAGTGCCGCGGGGATGGGGGTCCGAAGGCCACGCCAGGATCAATCCTCTCCCCTCACCCCCTCGGAGGGGGCTGGGGTCTCCTAGACCTCTGCCAGGCGCTGCCGCAGCTGGCACAGCTCCCAGCAGGAAGCCACCTCCCGGGATGGGGAGCCCCACACCTGCACATGGGGACGGGCCCGTACCGCAGCGCTGCCCAGCCCGAGTCCCTCCCGCAGCCTCCGGACCACAGCCGCAAGCAGGCTGAAATCCGGGGGTGGGGGGGGGGGGGTGTGGAGCTGCAGCCCCCTTAAAGACCCCTGTGACCTGCCTGTCCTTTGGGGCACAGCAGAGTCCCCATGGGCCAATTTACTCCTCATGCCAATGCCACAGGGTATGATGCCCCATTCTGACCCCCCAGAAGCACCACACAACCCATCACTGTTCCCCCCACGGAGCCCTAAGAACCTGCTCTAGCCAAAGGAGCGACACCAGGCTGTCAACGTGCCAAGGCAGGGGCAAGAGCGTGTCCTGCCCCCCCTTCCCCTCCCTCTGCTACAGAGAAACACACACCCCCAGTCCCGGGGGGCATCTGCCGTGGCTGAGGGGCCGGGTGGGAACAGCCCCTCGGCGACTCCTCCTGCCATACCACGGAGGTGAGCTCAGCCGCGGAGCCGAGGCGGGCCGGGCCCGCGGCGTGGGAGCAGCAGCCGCCCCCGCGCACGGCCCGCCGGCGTCACCGCGCTGGCACGCCACGGACGGTGACTGATGCACGTGCTATGCCACCTTCCCGCCCTGTGCTACCCCTAAACCCTCACCAGCCTGCCCAGGGAAGGCGATGCTATGGGCATGAGTAGAGACAGCCCCTGTCCCCACAGCCCTGGGCATGGATTTGGGTCACACAGCCCCACACGTCGGCATCCTGGCCTGCCCAAGTTTAACTGACACCAAAATGACTAGGTACCGTACAAGGGGACAAATGGCATTGTGCCCTGCCAGCCTTGACTCACCTGCCTGCAATTCCCACCCTGAGGGGGGTCCCACCACAATGATAACCACTGGATGGGGTGCACTCTCTTCCACCCTCCAGGGTGTGACAGCAACACTGAACACAAGGTGTCCCTCCCCTCTGTGGGGACACTGGCGCTCCTCAGCCCTATGGGACACCACACTTGGCCCCACATCCCTGGGACCAGTGCCACAGCATCCTCTATACCCACGACCCCACACCGAGGGCCCCAGAAAGTGTTTGGTCCCCAAAACAAGTTCCCAGAGGGGGACAGGGTCCCCCACTCACCTCCATCACATCACCCTGCTCAGTGTTACAGCCCGCCTGCCACCTTCCTGCCACCTTCCTGGCAGCTGTGTCGCCTGGAAGTGATCTCACTGGCTGCGGCGGCAGCAGGGCAGCCGCACCGTCACCCCGGGCTGGCTTGTTCAGCCCTGGCAGGGCCCCGAGGGCGGCCCCAAACTGTGGTGACACACTCCCCAGCCTGGCTGCCACTGCTCACAAACACACGTACAAACACACCCTGCTCCCACCAGAGGCAGGGCTGCTGCCTGCATCCTGCCCACCTGTGGGATGCTGCTGCCACCCAGCTCTCTGGGAACCATCCCCAGCCCCTCGCTGGACTGTGCCACCCCACGTACCCCCATACCAATGGGTGCTTTACCTCCCTCGGTGCTGGCAGCTGAAGCTGCTTGGTTGGCTGGATGGAGCAAGCAGGAGGTCTCGGAGGGCCAGCACGGAGGGCTGGTGACCCCCGTGGCAGGGGTGGCCGGGGAGGCCGAGGTGCCAGGCTCCTCCTCGCTGCCATCTCTGGGTTCCCAGAGCCTGGTCCTATGGCCTGATCCTGTCCTCCAGCACAGAGCATCCCCTGCTCTGAGCCTCTGCCTGCAGCAGTGGATGTGTAGGAAGGCAAGACACAGGCACGTGGGGGGGCCCCTCACCCCGGCACAGCCCCAATCCCCTCCCTAAGCCTCTTTCCTCTGCTAAATCCGCTCCACAGGTCGAGCTGGGGCGGGCTTAGCTTGTCTTGCACCTCCCAGCTCACTGGCATGGGCAGCAATTGCTGACCCCATAACTGATCCTCACCTCAGCCCCAAGCTCTCTCACCAAGATGGGGTCACAGTGCAGTGTTTTGGGGGACAAATGCACAGCAATAGTCCCTGGCACCCTCATTGCTGGGGAGGTGGAGAGGGCAGCAGGCTGGGCATCACTGAGCCCGGGTGTCACTGCCGCTGTAGGGACCCTGTCACCTTGCCCCAGTGCAAGGCTGGTTTGTTCCTGCCAGCCCCCCACACTGACCTCAGCTGGGCCACAGGGCCAGCACTGTGGGACCCCTCAGCAGTGCCAGCCCGTGTCGCAGTGAACCATGCAGTGAGCGAGACGGGAAAACATCTGGGCTCGGGTGACACCGGTCACAGGGTCCCTCTGGGGCAAAGTGGGAGAACTCAGAATGGGCATCCCTGCCTGGCACCCCCATCTGTCCACCCCAGACACACCAGACTTCCTGGAGGTTAAGGTATAGGAAGTGTCTCTGCATCCAGAGTCACGACCCACTCTGACAAGGCAGTTGGAAGACCCTTTGTGGACTCGCCCCCCAGGAGAGCTTTGCTCCTGGGAAGAGGGGCACCAGGAGCCCTGGTCCAACCTGCCCCACCACCCCAGGGTGCTGCCAGCAATACCCCCATATCCACCCCAGTACAGGATGTGTCCTTGGGCCAGGCTGCAGCTGGCACAAAATGAGTTTGTCAGGTCTCAGGCCAGGTTGGCACAAAGCTACACCCACACAGCAGCATCTCTCTCCCCTTTGAGCTGGGAGCAGGGGAACTGGGACCCCTAGAGCTGGCAGGAGGGGATTAAGGCTCAATCCCCACAGTTCCCCAGCATCAGAGCAGCACAAAATCCTAGCCAGACCATTCAGTATTTGCCAGTCACTAGCACGAACTGACAGCACACTAATTAACCAGGCTGCAGTGGGAATACTGGCCCTCCCCCAGGGCTGCTCAATAAATGGATGGAACAAGACTTTCTCCTAAGTCCTTCCTATCCTGGCAGGGACTGTGCATGAAGCAGAACCTCCTCCTGTCCCCCAAAACCCACACAAGTGGGCAATGACCCCCCGGATGCTTTTCCTCTGACAGTTATCATCGTTCATGGACACAACTGAAGTCAAAACCCAGGTGGCTCCATGGGCAGGATGGGACTTCTTGGGGGGAAACTGAGGCACAGTGTCAAGTCCAGCCTGAGTTGGTTAAGACAGGGCTCAGCTACACAGTTTTTCACGGTCCTCCAGTGGCTGCTCATCTACTTATGAGGGCCCCCCTTGCCCCGGGCAGGCTGAGTCACAGAGGGACAGCAGGCTGGCAGCTGCCTGAGGAGGAGGAAAGCATCGCCAGCCCCCCCAGCCATACCCACTACACCCCACCCTGCACTAACAAATACCCGTCTGAGGAGGCTCCGGTAGCTCCAGGGGTTGGTAACAGGTTGCACAGCTCCCACCCTGCACCCCAGGCCCGACAGGGAATACAGAAGCTGCTTCTACCCTCCCCCCTTCCTGCAGGGACCTGTGGGCTCAGGGCTGGCAGCAGGAGCAGGGCCACAGCTCAGGATGGGCGTGCAGCACCCAGGGCTGTCCTGGACCCTCTCCCTAAAGAGGTGCCTGGTAGCACAGACCTGCTTAAAGACACTTCACGAGACAGGTCCTGTTTTTAGGAGACTTTTGCAAAGCCCATAGCCCAAAAATTTTGTTGAAAGCTTTGCCCTGAACCAGCTCAATGAATGGCTGAGTAAGAGGGGGGAACGCACAACCTCCAGAGCCCACAGCACCTGGCAAGAGGGACACTCTTTCCAAGGTGTTGAAGTGGTGGTGCTGGAGCCCAGCAGCACCAGGACACCCCGGTGTACCTGCTGCACCAAGCGGCCCAGGGAGCTGAGGGTGTGGGGAAGTGCCAGGGCCAGGCTCTGCCTCAGCCTGTCCTGCCCGACAGCCCAGCCGCAGCACTGCTGCCGAGACACTGTCCCTGCCTGGGCTCCTCTGGCCACCTCCAAACCTCCTTCCCAGCTGCTGCTTCAGAATGGGCAAGGATTCTAATCTTGCTGTGAGAAGCCGAGCAGGATTTTCCTGGCACGGTAGGATCCTTGTCTGGAGTGTCAGCACCACCTTACCAAGTTTAACTTGAAACTTTTATTTAAAAAAGCAAAACCAACAAAGACCAAAAGTATACCAAACGGTCCTGGACTGTTCAGAGAAAAATTGCCACAACACGGCTGGACACAGCCACGATGCTGCATGCTGAGCCGGTGGTCAGAGGCTCCCCACACCTCACTGCTGCTCGGGGTTTGAGCTGCAGTACAACACCCCGAGGCGCGGGGCTGGCCCCGGAGGACAAGGATCCTCTGTTCAGTGCCACAGCTCCCACGAGCCCAGGGAAGAGGAAAAGCAAAGCTGCCTTTTCTCCGGGAAAAAAAAAAAAAACAAAAAACACCTTCCCCCAGCTTCCGCTGTGGTTTAGGAGAGTTCAAGGGCACCAGGCACCCACTCACACCAGACCCTGCTGCCTGCTCTGCCCTGGCAGCTGGAGCAGGAGGTCGGGCCTGCTGCCGGCCGGGACTGGCAGTCCCGCAGTGCTTGGGCACGAGGGAAGCACCGCAGCTCGCCGTACTGCGGGGCACGGTGCCAACACACCGGCACACTCAGCTGCCAACCGGGCAGCAGCGCAGTGCCCAGCCCTGAGCCCCCTGCCCCCCGCAGCACCCACAGCCACGGGGTCGCGCCTCTTCCTTACCTGTGCGCTCACCGCCACCGCATCCTGCGCCGAGTCTGCAGCGTCACCGACGGGCTCGGACGGGCACGGCGGCACTCCAGACAGCCGGCATGCCAGGAGAGACGAGCCCGCACACCTGCCGGGGCGGGGTGCGACGATCGACGCCGGGGACGTCCGGGACGCGGCTGGGACCACCCCCGGGGCAGCGGGCACCGGGCACGGGGTGCGGCCTCACACCCGGGCGGACCTCCTGCGGCTCAGGCGGTGCGCCGGGGTCCGCGGGCCGGGGTTGCCGCCGGGGTGCTCCTGCTCCCCCGGGTAGAGCTCGCCCTCCTCCTGCACTCCGCCCCGGGCCTCTCCCTCCTCCTGCCGGCCCCGCCGCACCCACCAGCGGTTGCGGGCCGGGGGGCTCGCCGCGTCCCGCCGGCCCCCGCCGCGCTCCTGCTGCGCCCGCCGGGCCAGGCCCTGCTCCTGCCGGACCTTGGGGCCGAGCTCCTGCACCCCTCGCACCGCGCCCCGCGCCCGCCGCGCCCCGGGGCTGCCGCCCGCCGCCGCCTCCTCCGCGCCCCGCGCCCGCCGCCGCGCCCGCGCCGCCCCCCGCTCCCGGGGCCGCCGCGGCTCCGCGCCCGCCTTGGGGCTGCCGAGGGCGGTGACGGGCCCGGGCCGCTCGCCCCACTCCTGCAGGCTCGTCCTCTCGCCCAGCGGCACCCAGTGCCACCGGCCCGGCCCCCCGCCGCCCCTCGGTTCCCTGCCGCCGGCCACCAGCTCCTGGCCGCGGGGCAGCGCCCCCAGCCCCGCCTCCTGCACGCTGCGAGTGAAGCCGCCCTGCTCCTGCACCCCCGGGGCCACCCCGCCGCCCTCCGGCACCGCCGGGCTCAGCCCCCCGCCCTCCGGCACCCCCGGCGCCCCGCTCGCCCCCTGCCCCCGGATGGTGCACGCGGTGCGGGCCCCACCCCGGCCCCGCACGCTGGGGAAGCCCCCCCGCGCCGCACCCCCGGAGCTCCGGCTCCGCCGCCCCTTCCTCCCCTCCTGCCCCCCCGCCTGCTCCCGCCGCCGCCGCCGCCGCGAGCCCGGACGGCCCCCGACCCGCCCCCGGCCCCGCTCTTAAAGGCGCCGCCCCGCCGCTTTACGTAACGGCGGGGGTGAGGACGGACAGACGGACAAGCGGATGGATGGATGGGTGAGCACGGGCATGGGCGCACGGACAGACTCACCGCGGAGCAGCGCCAGGCCCCGGGACCGAACCGCTGCACCGGGGACGCGAGCTGCCCTGCGCTGCCAAAATCCCTGTGCTCCCAGGTGAGTCGGAAGGGGCTGCTCCCCCTTCCCTCTGCCCCGGCGGGGCTGGCGCTGCCCGGCCGCAGCAGCGCTTCCGCAGCCCCGGCCCGGCCTCTCAGGACACTTTGCAGAGTTACCGCAGCGAGAGAGCTCTGCCAGGCGCGGGCAGGAGCTGCGGGAAACGACGTCCTTCCAACAAGTAAATCATCCCCGGGGGAAGAGGAGGGACCAGAGCTATGCCGGGACAGCCCATAGAGCGCGAGCTAGGATCCTGCAGAAGCTGCCACTCATCCAAATAGTGCAACGTCTAGGGATGTGCTGTTTGTGAAGCAGAAGGTGAGACCGGCATGAGGGAGGCGGGAGGACAGCACAGAGAAATTGAACTTATATAAATGCAGAGCCCCAAACCCGTATGGTCTCACCTGAGCAGTCCTCCGGGGCTGAGGAGGCAGTTCCTGCCCTCCCAGAGCTGCCCCGGGCTCTAAGCAGTGTCCACACTTGCATCTCTACCTTGGCCCACGGGACCTCCAGGATGACGAGGGGCAGGGACAAGGTAGGAGCAAGCACTGGCTTCCTGGGACACAGCCACCCACAGGCCCCTCCAGCCACCTTCTCAACAGCAGAGACCTGCAAGGCCACGGCCAGGGGGAAATCTGACATTTCATCCTTCTCCAGTCATTCACCCATACATCTCAGGCTTTTCAGAGTCAGTGCTGTCATGGAGAGGCAGGAAGTAGGACATGAAAGGAAGAGGATGGGAGGAGGTCTGGGGGCTTACATACAGTTGTGCTCCTCCACCTCGTTACCAGAGTCCTTACCGCAGTTTGCGATAAGACAGGACTCAGCTGAGCAGCACTGTGAATTCAGATTTGCTGCTGCACATCAACTGAGTGATACTGGAGCTGCCACACAGCAGCCCTGATGGAACAGGATGACAGCCTCCCTCCAGCTGCCCGAGCTCACCCCTGGCCACAATGTCAAAACAGCATCATGGCTTTGCAAGAAGTCACAAGAGAAGGTGAATATTCAAGCTTCAACATCTTTATTAAAGCAGACAGCAGGCAATCCAGAACCCCACAAGAGAAGCTGAGTGTTCAAGCTTCAAAAATACTTTATTCAAACAAACAGCAAGTAAATCCAGAAACAGTTTAGCACCCCACAGCAGTCAGATGCCAGCGCTGAGCAAGGCATCCCAACATCCCAGTAGTCACGGCTGTGCTGCCTAGCCAGGAGATAAGCTTTGTCTTTTGTCTCTCTCTGCTGGCTATAAAGCACAAGATTAAGTTTGACATCAAGATGCATGCAAACAACAGTGAGAACTCCCAGACAGCAGTTCTTAGATGCCATCCAGAGAAATGTCACTAGAAACTAGAATGTGAGAGAAAACATTGACACAAATAGGGCTGTAGGAAGTTAGAGAGTTAAGAGAAGTTAAGGAAGAACAACAAGTTGCACAAGCCTGGGCATCAGGTTTCTAGAGACCGATGAAAATCCAGCCCTCCAAGCTGGTGAGCACTGAGCTCAGTAACCAGGCTGGGGGCCAGTCCCTGCCCTTTCCTTGCAGAGCTCCAGCTGAACAGTGTTCTTTCCCTCAAGGACTACTGCTGGGGCTCAGGTCACTCACGCCAGTTAGGTTTAAATGCCAGATCAAACTGCAGAGTTTAGGTTAAAACTAAGCTGCGGGTTAGGTTTAAATGCCAGATCAAACTGCCAAGTACAGGGCTGGCAACAGCCCCTGGGAACAGGCAGCGCAGTTTAGCAGGTGTCACACATCAGCAGTGCTCAGCTTCAGGTCACACAGCAGAGCAGCACCATTAGAAGCTGACACTGACTTTCCTCCCTGCATTCAACACCCAAGGGGGCAAGACTGGAATTTCCAGCCAGAACTGGAGAGTGAGCAGCCCATGCACACACACCAGCACCCTCCTGGTGTCGCAGCAGGCCAGCCTCTCAAAGTGTTACGTGCACCCATCCAGAGCAGTGACCAGAGCCCTCCAGACAGCTGTCAGCCCCAAGCCCTACATTCACCTTTCATTCCTCAGGTCTTTGTAACTGATTTGAAGTAAGTTTACAACACCACAGAACAGACAGTCTAACTAGCCTAGTTTCTACTAAACACTCAAGCACTACTCTTGTGACTGAAGGCAGGAAGCCAGTTCAAGACAGCACAGCTATTTCAAACAGTTCAGCCTATGGAGAAGGAAGTGTCTAAGGATGTACATAACAGACTGAAGATTGTATCTGCATCACCACAGGAGAGTGAAAAAATAGGACTGCAGGAAATTAATCCATGTTAGATACTAACCATCAAGCTTCGCAGATGACATTGCGTGATAAGCATAGAACAATTATGGGAAACACTGTCCCCGATAATTACGTACACCCATAGTGCAACATATGGAGGTCACTGCCTCCGATATAACACTGTGGTAGGCAAAAACTACCTTGTTCTTTACACATTATGGGAGACACTGCCCCCGATAATGTCAGTTAGGTTTCATGATACATAAGGTACTGGAAGTTTGCAGGAAGCTGCCATTTAAAAATCATGCCAATGTCTAATCTGATGTAGAGGGAGTTTCTGTGTGTTGCCGCAGGTGGAACTAGGGCTGGCCTTAGTTCCATCTGTAGCAAGGCCCTCTGCTGGGCCAGGGCCAGGAAGGAAGTTGTGCTCCCTGTGAGAGCACACGGCATCCAGAAAGGGGAGCAGGAAGAAGTCTGAAGCCCACAGAGGGGCACAGACCCTGCAAGGAAGACAGATTTCTAGTATTGGAATTTCCACCCAGGTTTTCAGCATTTCAAGGATTTCTTTGGAGAGCAACCTGGAGACTCACTACCAGGTTTGCACCTTCGAGTTTCTTCCAGAGGGGTGTTTTCGCCACAGAAAGCTTAATTACTAGTTTTCCAAAACTTTTTGAGGGTCTTGTTTTGATTATTTTAAATGCAAAGTTCCAGTATCATGTTTGATTGTAATAGCAGATGCTGCTTTATTCAAAAACGACAGTATAACTGTCATAATTATGGAAGGCACTGCTTCCGATAATTATCTTCTATAAAAAAAACACACCATTTATAGTGAACACTGTCACTGATAAATAAATAAAGAAATAAATATCTCAGTGCCAAACAAGAGCCAACCTGCAAAATGACATCAGTCAAACAGAGTTTGGCCAAGAGACTCGATTTCACACAAGGCCCCTGAGCAGCAAGGTCTGAAGTGCCAGCCTAAAGTCATTTCTCAATGCTGCAGGACTTGCTGAGGTGCCAGCTGAGGATATCAAGGGGACATTGGATAATCTTTGGGTCATTTTCCCTGGGAATTGATACCTGCCTTGGCAGAAGCAAGCCTCCAAGATGTCACTGGAACCCTGCTACTGAGTAAAGGCAGGCGGGCACTTGAGAGCTTGCTGATAATCCAGCACTTGTGGGCTATTACTACATTGTTTAATTGTTGAACTGCAGCTTTCTGCAGCTTCCTGCCAGAGAAGGGATCCTTGTTACAAATGTTCAGACGAATCCATTCTGTTTTGTCACTAGGTTTAGGTGGCCAACAATTAAAAGCTTGAATAGATGAGGTACCTCCCCACTCAAGGTACCAGTTCAGGAAACACCTGAGCTCTTAGTTTTGAAGTACACTGGAGCAGCTGTACATGACTGGTTTGGACTGTGGTTAGGTGGAAGCCCAGTCAGAGGAGACTTCATGGTAATCTTAGTATTGCTTTAAAACTGCCTCCAAGATAAGATTTAAATTTTATGCTCAACTTTGGTCAAAAACATTTTGTTGCCAGAATATCTACAGGAAAGTAATACCATGTTAGGGAGTGGGTTTCACTTAGGTTTCAGGGGGTTTGGTTAGGTTTTATGATATATAAGGTACTGGAAATCTGCAAGAAGCTGCCATTTAAAAATCATGCCAATGCCTAATCTGAGGTACAGGGAGTTTGTGTGTGTTGCTACAGGTGGAACTAGATCTACACAGCAAGGCCCTTTGCTGGGATGGGGCCAGGAAGGAAGCTGTGCTCCCTGCGAGAGCACAGAGCTGTCCTGTACCTTAGATGAGCAATCCAGGTGTTTGCAGTGTCTAGATTTCGTTGTCTGTATTCCAGATATCGCCCACTAAAGCATTGGCAGCCCCTTTAATGGTCCAGGTGGCCAGGGCCAGCTGCTCTTTCAGCTCATTCACATCCACACTGGTCTTGTTGACTGCCAGCTGCTCCAGGTTCTCCAGCAGACTGTGCAGGGTGTGGCTGCCTCTGCCGAAGAAGATGTGGCGGAAGGGAGCATCTTTTGGTGAGAGGTATGGAGAGAGGAAGTCGTATTCCACCTGAGTAGAGATGCAAATACAGGGTTATACTCTCGCCTCCCAAGTTCTTTCCTGATCTGCCCCACACAAGCTGCCAACCCTTGATCCCCAGTCAGCCCTTTCCCACAGCAGCTCTGCAAGGGCCGGACCCTCTCTCATGAGCAAGCCATTATGTTGCCACTAAGCAAGTGGAAGAGACACCATTCTGCACAGTGCCCATGGCCCCTTAGGGAAAGGCCCATCCCAGCCAGCACTCTCTTCCTTTGTGAAGGAAGAAAAACCAGTTGAAGATACCCACCTTCATCATCCTGTCATTCAGGGCTCTGCGGACAATCCTGTTTTCCCTGTCACTGTTTTCGATGTCTCTTCTCAGTGTATCTGCAGCTCGCTGGAAGTCTCCACGGGCAAAATACAGCCAGTTCAAGGTCAGCCCCAGTTCCTGCAAGGGAGGAGCTGTTAGCAAACCTGATTTTCTTCTTTTGCTGCTCTCTTACCAAAAGAAAGTGTTGGGATTTTTTTTTTTTTTTCTGGCAGTTTAGCCAAGTAGCAGAACAAGTTCTTGGCAGGCTCTTCTGAGGTCACTCCCTACCCACACTTTCTTCTAGATTTTCAGCAAAGGTGCAAATGAGATGGAAAGCTGCACTATGCTGTGAATGATAACCAGAGAAGAAACTGTTCACATCCATTTCCTCAAGAGCTCATGACATCTAGATTAGCTAAATCTGTCTGCCACAGCTACTCTGCCTGCACTGCTCTATAAGGAACATGGATTCTGGTCACACTTTGCTACCTTTTTCTGTCTAAAGGGGAAAGGTGTCCATCCTGATGTATTCACTGGCACAGGGCCTTATTAGCACATGGCCCCATAATCATCAGGGATTTGGTGAACTCAGAGTCCTTCTAACCTTCACATTGGCATTGAAGTGCCAAAGCTTCTCCTGGAATGACAGCAATTCATCACTGTATCTATCAAAATCCAGGAAGAGCTCATGGTCATGGGTCAGCCTGAGAGCTATTTGTCCAGCAACTTCTGCAGCAGCATACATGAGAGGGTACAACTGGCCAGTCTTCTCTTTCAGGTTAGCCAAAGTGTCCTCAGTAGTGCCCAAAAAGGCATACTCATCACCTTCCTGCAAGAAAGAAGGTATTGAAGTTAGCCAAGAAAGCTTTTCCAGTTAGACTTTTCTCATCCCCCACCAAAAGTTACTTGTTACCTCCACCACATCCCATCTCCCTGTGCTGCTAAGGAGCAAAGACTCAAGTGGCAAAACTCCAAAGGACTGGGAAGGGAATGGAGCTCTTATCTCATCCCTGACAGCTTCCAGTTACCAGCAGGATGTTCTGCTTGTTATTTAGACCTGAAGACATACAGACCTTTATCCCTCAGAGTTCACTGCAGAAGTGCAGGTGGGCAAATCTCACCACCCAGTCTGCTATGTGCTTGCAGCACCCACCAACCCTTCCTTTAGGGTAACTCAGGGTATTTTGTGAAACAAGTCTGACACTAATAAACCCCAAACATTCCTAAGAGAGGGAGCTGCTACCACTAAGGCTCCCAGCTGCACACCTGCAGTAAGAGGGCAGGGTGCTGGGCTGATGCTACCCCCCAGCTATAGCAGCAGACTGGAGAACAGTCTGAGGTAAGTACTTGCTCAGGGCAGTAATATTGCTCCCACAACACGCTCTGCTTGCTGACCAGCAGGCGGTAGAACAGTCTGTCACTGTCCAGCAACAGCCTGACATCCTTCTATTGCTTTTAGCTTCTGATTCATTGACATCTGAGCCTCCAGAAAAGCAAGTCACCCCTCTCCCCAAAAACAAAAACCTGCAAGTATTCAGTACTTTGGAACTGAGATGTAAAGCCAGCCTTGTCCCAGGAGCAGTCTTGACATCAAGTACTGCCACAGCCACCAGGTTCAGAGGCTGCACCTCCTCCCTCTGAGAGGCTCTTGCAAGGACATTGAGCTTGGCTGGAAAGCAGATATCCTTACAGCACTCTGCATGGAATGAGCACATTAGGCAAGCACACATTACTTACATTGTAGAAACCAAAGGAAACCACTGGGATTCCTGAGTAGGCCAGAAAAGGGAACGCTGCATTATCCAGATCAAGGGGAACACTGCAGAAAATAAGCACTGAGTAGTTACCAACTGGTTTGGACACCCAGGAGAAAAGCTACAAGCTCTACAATTGAAGCTCTGAACCAACAGAACTCTAGACAAGACTGAAGGAGTCCCAACCAAATCCCTGGTCCTACTTGTCCATTCCCTGCCACTGGACTTGGTACGAGGCTTTTCCTGTCCTGCAGGAAGGTGTCTGGGCTGCCTCAGCCAGCTTGGGGCAGCACAGTTAGTGCTGTACTGTTCACACTTGCCTGACCCCACGTCAGAAGGTAGAGCCCACCCCAGACAGCAGTATGACACTCCAGCAGAATCCATACTGTTTGCTCCTTTTGGGAGAGCAGATCTCCATAAAAGATGGATGACAATACTTACACTTTCTTTATCCAGTCAGAGCCAGCTTTGTCATACAGGTATCCCAAATTATTTGTGGGGTCCTTTACCTGCACAGAGATGACAGTCACTGCACTTGTTCTCACCTCTGCTTGGGCTTCCATCCTGAAGCTTACACTCCTGTGCAGATGCCAGAGTCAGGCGTGCTCCCCCGACCTTTGTCCACACATCTGCCACTGAACTGTGGCATTTGCTGATTTTAGATTCTGCATGTGTGAACTGCAATTCCCAGAGCCCAGCTGATGTCAGACAGGACCCCTTCAGAATCCCAGGTTTTCCTCCTAAGTGGATCTTTCTCCTGACAAGTGGGCAAAGTGACCCAACACAGCTCTGTCTGCTTTCAGTTCCTCCTTAAAACCACAGTCACCTTGATCAGATCAATACCCTTTAACTCACCCTCTTCATAGTTGCCTCTAGCAATGAGTAGAGCAGTGGGCTAGCAGAAATCTTCACGTCTCTGGAGCCTGCAAAAAATGAAAGGGTACTCAACATACCGGCACAATCAACCAC